TTCCTTGGCGTGTTTTGTCGCCTGCCACCCCAGTAGTTGGCACAGGGCTGGTACCCTTTTGCCATCACCAAACCTGATGGCTGGATCCCAGCATTGTGAGACAGTGGACAACTTTGTGGCCCTTGATAAAGGGTGGGTTGGGAGGGAGCTGAAACTTGCTCTATCATCATTTTATGGGAATGATTGACTTCTTGGCAGTAGATATCATCTATTGACTGATTATGAAGGTACTCCTGGGCAACCACATTTCTGCCCGGCATCCTGTTAATTACATTGGGAGACTGCTCCTCTGATACTGCAGTGCAGCCAAAATTCTGCTGGTTTCCATTATTTGGCATGAAATTATTTCCCAGCTTTTGCCCTTGAATCACAATGTCATAGGTATTGCCCACTGGTTGTCTGCCAATACTTTCACCATACAGCTGTGTCTTATTTGACTGAAGGTGGTAAGAATGACTGGTGTCACTGTTGTTCATGACCATGTTCTGCTGTAAACTGCAGGAGCCATTGTTGTCTAGAAGATGTTGATAGCCATTTTGCTGGGACACAGCATTTCTCTCCAGCCCATGGTGCTGCTGTTGGACGACCATGTTGTTATAGAGGCCTAAGGTTTGAGTGTGCTGGATCAGGGACCGTTGCCCACATTTTAATTTTGACGGAGACAAGTCAGAACTTCCTGAGCTTACTTCATTCCACTGAATTGGCAGGTCGTTTTTACTGGCCTCAGAGTTGTTTGGTGGAGGAGACTGGTCAAAGTTGTTGCCATACCCCAATGCTGAATTGTGATGCACTTTGTTGTGATCTAGTCCACCATTCGGCAGGTGGTTGTATGCGCCCTGATTCTGAGAATTCAAATATTGGACCACGTCATCCGGTAGGAGATCCTCATCATTCAGACTGCCATCTGCTTCCATTGTAGCAGCTTCCATGGCCACATTCTCAGAGATACTAGGAGGACAAGGGGAACAGTTGCGGAACAAGCCACCATCAGAACGGGTGTAGTTCTGAAGGATGAAGTTACGCCTTTCCATAGATGGAGGCAAAACAGGAGGGTTAAAGCTATTGAGACTGTTGAAACGCTGGACTCTGGGAAAGGAAAGGTTATCGGAAACTGGTCTCACAGGGTCACTGGCTCTCCTTGTACTGTTCCCCAACACATCATGGGGCAGTATGTGTCGCCTGTTGTAATTGTTTGTCCCACCATCACTACATCTTCGGGGAGAATTCACTGGGGGCAGTGGTGACATTCCAGACTCCCTACAGTCACCCAATAGTGCCATTTTTGTTTTCAAGCTCATCCTCTCCATATTAGGGAGTGGTGTGGGTGGGGGTCCACCAGTAGCTGCTGCATACTTTGCTTTCAGCCGGTATTGCTGGGCAGGGGTCAGGCTGAGAAGACCTGGCAAGCCATCACACTGGCTGGCTTCACTGGATCGCCGAGAGGCATCAGTTGAAATGGGGTCGTAGGAATCAGTGACACTGATGTTCTGCAGCCTCCCCTCGCCTTGGGAAGCATCACTGGACCTCCGACTAGAGAAGCAAGGTGAAATCCCAGAGGATCTGCGGCTGCTCATGTAGGCTGAGCTGATGGTGCTGGTGTTGCTGTCCCTTCTGTTCAGCATGTTGAGCACAGTAATGTCCATGTTTGTGAGTTCATTTTTATTGGCTAGAATAGTCATGTTTCCTCCAATGCTGCAGCTGCTGCTTGAATAAGTACCTGGGGAGGGGGATAAAGAAAGAAGAAAAGACTCCAGGTTGATCAGGTGAAATAAAGAAATGGTACGAAATGTGCTACAGGCGTTTCCAAGAAAATGCCATTATATTTCCAAAATGTTGATGATGGGGCCAACAAGACTTTTGGATTCAGGCACACAAAGAATAATGTTGCAAGATGAAAGAAAGCTGAAGGCGTTGCCTAGACACTGGCCGCAACGCAAGACAGAATGAACGGTGCTGCCTGGTGCTGTGGACAAGTTCCCCCTGAGGTTGGGCAGTGCTGCTTCAGTTAGGTAGCTCACACAACTGAGGTCCACAATACTGTTCTATACAAAAATTAAAATACCTTCAAAGAGAAAAAAGCATGTTAAGAGTAGCACAACTACAACCCTAGAACTAGGTAAGAACTGGGTCTATGTTGGCTTGTCTCTTGTCTCTAGTAGGACTCCACTGACTGGATCTGTGAAAATATGCAGTCTTTTTTAAAATGTAGATTACAGTCTTAATCGAACCATACTGAAAGCCAAAACTGCAAAATACACAATTCCATAAATTATTTGGGATAATTTGAAAGCCATTCTTCCAGATCTTTTGCATGACATTCCAAACAACATTATAAAATAAGCAATTATAATAATTTCTTTTCTTTTCTGTAGTTCCCTTTATTGGAATGAACTTAAACCAGAAACAAGAAATACCACAGATATTTTGCATGGGTGGCTGCAGTTGAAGGAGTTTTGCAACGAAGTAGAAGGAAAAAATCTTTGGGCAAAAATGGTGATGCGTCCTGCGATGGACTCTGGGTGTGTTTTGTTTCCCAGCTCCAGTACTTTGGACTAAACACAAGAATTCTACCATACCACTTTCAAAAAAATATTAATAATAAGAATCTTACCACCTTCCCTAGTGTACCCTTCTCCCTGGGATAATACTTTGATATGAGCAGGAAATTAGGTTGCAATCCTATACATGCTGACCTGTGAGTAAGCACCACTGAACTCATAAGGTCTGAGTAGACATGCATAGGCTTAGAGCAGAGGTTTTCAACCTTTCTGAGTCCACGGCTCCATTGACCAACTACATTCTTTCTGCGGCACCCCCCCTGGGGGCTCAGGAGCCCAGTTGTGTCACCCCTTGCCTGCAGAGCCGGCAGCTCCTCACCCCTTTTTGAACACCCTTCCTTGGGGAGTGTTCCCTCAGCCTCCTCTCTTCTCCCCTCTCTCTGGGAGTCCTTTGGGCAACTGCAACTGCCACCTCGGCTCTCTGAGCTGCCCCACAGGGGCCTGGGAAACACCCCTGCCCAGCCCCAGAGGCACCATTCGCCTGCGGAGCTGCTGCAACAAACAGCTGTGGAAGCCTTTGGGAGGCAGAGACATGAGAGGGCATCAGAGGACAGAGTAGCCCTGTGGAACCCCTGACTATCATTCAAGATACCCAGGGTGCCACAGCACCCTGGTTGAAAACCACTGGCTTAGAGTATAAGGGTCTAACATGACTAAACAAATCTTATTCAATTGATCAACTGCTCTACCTACTTTAAATAATATACTTATTTAAAATTTGCATTTGAGTAGAACAACAGTTCTGAAGCAAGAAGCATACTTTGCTTTCAGAAACTGGATAACTGTGCTGTACCCACATCATCTTAAAAGAGTCATTCCACCTGTGAGAAAGAAAAGGAGGAACTATCTCTTTTAGGAGGTTGTGTTTTTTTTGGCAGGTTTTATTTATAACAACAGTAATCTTTTCTTAATCGCTGACTTAGTGCAGCACCTTTTAGTAGAGTATCTTGAATCAATTCATGCTCTAAATTTGTTGAATTCTGAGCAAAAACCGTATTTTGCATGGAAGAGCATTCAAAAAAAGTGATCTCCACTTGTGGTTTGAAATGCTGTATCCCAACTAAAGTTCCATGGCATAATTACGTGGTGATCATGTTGTTCAGCTTTGACCCTGTTTGGTGTAGTGGTTAAGAGCGGTGGACTCGTAATCTGGGGAACCGGGTTTGCTTCCCCGCTCCTCCACCTGCAGCTGCTGGGTGACCTTGGGCCAGTCACACTTCTCTGAAGTCTCTCAGCCCCACTCACCTCACAGAGTGTTTGTTGTGCGGGAGGAAGGGAAAGGAGAATGTTAGCCACTTTGAGACTCCTTTGGGTAGTGATAAAGCGGGGTATCAAATCCAAACTCTTCTTACTTGATAATTTTAGTCAGGGAAGGGCCTATTAACACTCCATGATTTAGTACTCTCAAATTAGAATGAACATGCACTTTATTTAGGTGCATTATAATGGCAAAAGCACTAAAGAAACCCTGTGCAGGGTTGGGGTTTTTTTTGGAGGGGAGGGATAAAGTGTCAATGGATTCTAAAGTGGATTCATTCATTCATTATTTTATCTTATTATGTAGAGAGCTTATATACCACTTAATTCCAATCTTCTTTAAGTGGTGTACGTGGAATATAATACAATGAAAATAAAATTCAGTTAAAACTATAAAATCAGAATCCAGTTAAAATGTATGTGGGACAACAAGAACAACAACAAGAAGCATTTTTTAGGCGGACCAGAAGTTCAACAGGGATGGGGGGGGGGCGGCTCTGTGACCTCAACAGGAAGGATGTGCCATAAAATTCGGCTCACAATACTGAACACACATGGTGTACTGGAGCCATGCATCCATGCCATGGGGAACATGGACAGTGACTCCACCAAACATCTCAGTAACTAGGCAGGGATCATGCGGTCTTTGAGGTATCCTGAACCCAGAAATGTATGGGCAGTCAGTGCTGGCAACAGTCTGTCCCCATCAATGGTCTAGCTACAGATTATATTAAATGAGCATATCTTACCATTTCCTATGAGAGGCGGCAAAGTTGGGGCTTTGGAATGTGGAATGGGGTTCAGTCTTGGAAGCACTCCACTGATTTGTTTCAACCTTTCCAGCTTAACTTGCTCCATCCATTTGGTCTCTGTCATATTCCTCCTGGTCTGCAAGCCAAGTGCTGTGGTTGCTGTGGAAATGGTAGAGTCCATGATAGGGGTTTCATCTATGACACTGAGGTCTCCTACACTACCTCGACTGGTCAGATTAAGCTCGGTCCCATTGTTGGAATAGGTGCTGACGGGGGACTGCTCGCTGCTGCATGTAGACTGACCACCAGGGCTTGGCTGAGATGTCTGTTTGGAGGAGAAAAGATATGGGGGGGGGGGGGGAGGAAATCCAGTTAGAAACAGAATGCACCTAAGATCCACCATGCGTAGAGAAAGGCAAGACAGAACTCGGAACTGTGTTTATTTCTCAGCCATTTTGCAAGGTACCTCAATTATTTATTTAAATGAGGTACCTTGCAAGATGGCTGAGAAATAAACACAATTTCATTATTAAGAAATGCCTTACTAGGTCAGAGTCATGCTGAGGCAAGGACAGGATGCTACCAAGGACTCTCATCTTACCAAACCACTTTAAGCTTCTGAAATCTAAGGTTAGCGCATGCTCTTCAAAAGAGTGTGTGTATTCTTCTGATGTTGGACTTGTGCGTCTGGAGTAACAGCCTTCTCCCACATCAGACAAAATGCTTTTTAAAAAAAGCTACTGAAAATGAGAGGGGTCTCGTGGCACAGATGGAAAACATTCCCTTTGTGAGTTCAATATAGTGGAGATGCTGGAAGTAGCTCTTTAATTCCTGGCCAATATGATCATCTGCAGCTGAACGGCACCAATATATGTCCATGGAGTGAGCCAGTTGCTAGTGTTATAAAGTTAATATTCAGAAGGGTCTGGTTCTCACTGCAGTGCAGCATCCTTAGTACTGTGCACTGGCCAATACAGTGGTACCTCAGGTTACATACGCTTCAGGTTACAGACTCCACTAACCCAGAAATATTACCTCGGGTTAAGAACTTTGCTTCAGGATAAGAACAGAAATCGTGCACCGGTGGCACAGCAGCAGCGGGAGGCCCCATTAGCTAAAGTGGCACTTCAGGTTAAGAACGGACCTCCGGATACGTAACCAGAGGTACCACTGTACAGTGAATAAAACAAAGCTGCTGTCAAAACATGGATTTGTACACTAAAAGCCTTCATCATGCCATCGGAAATATCCCACAGAGCAGCGATGACCATCACTAGATCAATACCAGCTTGCAGCTAAAGTATTACTCACTGCAACCATTTCCCTGAAACTTCCCTTCCACTGTGCCTCAAAGAAGAATTTACTTTTCCTGTAAATTCTGTTGAGAGTTATGGTTTTCTACCATGATAGTTTTTCTACTGCCATGTTGACCTGTCACAGTTAAACATATCCGCTGCCCCGGAGAAGCTCATATATATGCTTCATAAGGTTTATTTTACTGCAGCGATATTCAGACTGCTTAAGAAAAATCCTGCAGTGTTTGCCATGTATTCAACAACCTCACCTAAAAGAGATCTTAGAGAGAGAAGCAGAGCAGTGCTTTTAGAGGATGCTTCTAAAGGTTTCTAGATGTTAATAAGATGGATGTGTATCAAGCAGATATTACCAAAATAACTTCATTAAAATCACTACTGTAATTTAACCTGAAATAATAATAATAATGATGATAATGATAATAATAATAATAATAAAAAATCATACAATCATAGAACTACAGAGCTAGAAGAAATCCTGAGGGTCATCTAGTCAAAACCCCTGCAAAGAAATAAATAAATTTCCATAACAAGGCAAAGCAAAGTAAAAACAGGATTCATACCTAGGAAATATCTACATGTGAAATAAACAGACCTCTGGCTGTGTTGAGTTTGCTAACTGTCAGGGGGTGGGGTGGATGCTACTGAATCGCCATATCTTAAAACAGAGCTTTCCAAACTTTCATGTCGGTGACACACTTTATAGACATGCATCATTTCACGACACAGTAATTCTGTTTTACTAGAAAAATGGAGGCTAAACTAACACCTTATAAGAGATACAGACACACATTGCGCAACACACCTGCACACGACACACTAACGTGTCGCAACACACAGTTTGGAAACCTCTGCCTTAAAATATTTACAAATAGTAAAAAAATAAAGTCCAATCTAAGCTGTGATTTAGTTTGATTGTACCGTTTAAGCCACACAAAATGTGTGTTACTGGTTTTTGTTTTGTTTTCCTAATCAAATATTTCAATGCAAATAGTAACTATGGCTGTTGGGGAAATGTGTTTATATTTTTATTTTTATGCTTCTCTGAAATTCTTTTTTAAATGTATATAGTATGTAAAATTAATACATCATGCCTTAAAAGTTTTGCTTGTTATGCAAGTCAAATAAACATGGTAAGGCTGTGATACATACTTACCTGGGAGTAAACTCTACTGAACTCAGTAGGACTTCTAGGACATTATAGTATCGCATGGAAGTCAGATTCCAATAGACTCTGGGCACTGGAAAACTTCCCAGTAAACAGTGTGATTTAAAATTTTCTGGGAAATCCACATCACTGGCCCATATACTTGCAAGTCTATCTTTGTAGCCTCGAGGCTAACTGCTGTTATTATTTTAATGAAAGGTGAATTTTGTGCCACATTGGACACAATTTCTGTGCTCCAGCAGAGTCGCAGTGTACACAGAACCCTGATTAAGGCATGCAAAATCATTTTGCTCTCAAGAACAGCCTCCTATATCAGCTTTTGATCTCCATGGGAAAAAATCTCAGCGATTTTAACAAAAAGACCTCCCATTAAGTGAGCAATGAGCATGCAAGTGTTTTCAGGATCACCGGCAACACAAAATTATCTAGTTTTTGTGACATTATTAGTAATGTGTTGTGGACATTCAGCTGAAAACCCCAGTAGCAATGTTTAAATTAATTAATTCACCAGGGAAGCATCACTGGGGCAGTTACTGTTTCATGCTAGCTGAACAAAGACATTTGAGAGTCAGAAGCCTGTTCTTGTAGCTGACTAATTGCTCACAGCAGACACATTCATTCACAAAACAGAGAGTGGTCACGGATGTGTATGTGAACACGTATACGTCTATTTAAAATTGCCATAATTCCAGTTGTACTACATGCCATTTGTTATGAAATGCCATGGATGCGTTTGATGGAATGTTCCTAGGCAGCAAGCAAATGGTTTTCAAAAGTAGCATTTAAGGAACTGAGAAGAAGTTAAAATCCCCTCACCTTATTACCCACTGTCCTTAGGAAGTTAGAACAAGTCATTTAAGAGCATTAGATAGAAGAAATACCAGATTAGTACAATTACAAAAGTCATACAACATGGTCAAGTCATAATTTATTCAGCTATTTTAGCACCCAATTTTGATTAACATTGATTAAGTTCAATGTTATATGTAAATTTTATTTTCTGCATGGTTCTTATAATCTTTGCTCTCCCTTTCCCCCCAAAGCCACTCAGTTCAACCACATTGCTGAAATATCAACTAGGCTAGGAAATACTTATGACACACCTGAAACACAGAAGAAACTTAAAATTTAGTCACTTGAGTCCAATTTCTGACCTGGGTCCAGGATTTTAAATACAAACATGGAGCTCCCCAATACAGTCTTTCCATTCCCCCCCCCAGGTGTTGATACCTTTGCACAGCCAGGTCTATTCTCCCCTTGAAAAATATGAGGGATTCTTACATGTAGGATATCAGTGTGTGTATCTGAGTGCTCAAGAGATTTCTAGACTGAGCAAATCAACATGGCACATTTTATAAAAAGCCATATTAGATATATTTTCCAATTTGGGAATCTCAAATTTGAAGTAATGATCTACAGTGGTGCCTCGCAAGACGAAATTAATTCGTTCCATGAGTTTTGTCGTCTTGCGATTTTTTTCGTCTTGCGAAGCACGGTGTCGGGAAAGTTTTGGAAAAGTTTCAAAAATCACCAAAGTCTTTAAAAACCTCAAAAAAGGCTACCACACCGCGTTCTATGAATTGCTCCTCAAAGTCAAGTCTCAACTGTATTAATGGTTTTAAGAAAAAAGAAACAAACTTGCAAGACGTTTCCGTCTTGCGAAGCAAGCCCATAGGGAAAATTGTCTTGCGAAGCAGCTCAAAAAACAAAAAACCCTTTCGTCTAGCGAGTTTTTTGTCTTGCGAGGCATTCGTCTTGCAAGGTACCACTGTACTTACATTGAATTGGTAAACCTATGACTCCACATGGAAAAATCATGATTGAACACTCCTCCATCCCAAAAATTGTCTCCGCAGAGAAAATGAGATGTCAAGGAGAAGGTTTCTTTCACACAAACTTTCTGTGTGCAGGAATTTTTGTGTGGAGGTGCATTCAGTTATGAAAGCCCACCACACCTACAAACTGATGTGCTACACCCAGGTAAAGGTTTACCACCACAGTGAGAACTAGGTTGTGCAGATTATTTTCATTTTGACCCACGAACTCGGTGTTTTGACTTGATATTTAAGAATTTGAAATCAGAATTCTTCGCAATTCATTCTACTTAAACATTAATAAACATTGTTGCAACATTTATTTGGTGATTAGCCCTTTCTCCACACATTTATGAATTTGAAAGAACTAAATTTAAACCAGATTACCACAAAATACATGAATAGGGGGGAAGTTCTCCTGTGCAATTACCATCAAAATGAATGGTGATAACGTTCACTTCGATGGAACTTGCACAGGAAAGCTTCCTGCAGAACTGCGCCCTAAATAAAGCCTCATTTATTGGAATGGCACAGTGCAAAGAACTGGATCATCCAAACTTCAGACAACAGAGGTGCAATTTATTCAGGGTTATAATGGCACTGAATATACATCTGGTAAATCTTGACAACAAGTCATTTTTAATATCAATGCAGTAACGCATGTGAGTTCTGTTATGCCAACTTAAGTGTGAATGAATTTTAAATTTCCTGTTTTTATGGTGGTTAAATGGCATTTTGAGTCAAGATGCAAAGCATGTAAGTATTCAGCCTATCTAATCCACAAATAGCTTCACACTGTTTGATTTCCAAACATTACATTATATTAGAGCTGCTAGATACAATTTATTTCCATTCGTAACAGGTTATTGTAAAGAAAAGCAACCAAAGGCTTAAGAGTTGCAGTATTTCATAATCAATGAACCACCCGCAACCTGAAATGGAAGGGTGATGGGGAGGAAGCACAAGATGTTGCATACCATGGGCTTCTCGGACTTGACCGCTTTCACTTGGAGGCATTCTTCACGCTTTGAGGTAGTGTTGCTGAGGTCTTTTTGCTCACCAATCGCGCCCTGAGTCTGGTGGCCTGGGGATCTTGTCTGAGAATGGCTGCCTTGGTCTCTCGGGGGTGGGTGCCTTGGATGGATGTCTCCACGCTGCTTCTTAGTGACATGCGCCTCAGGACCATGCACCGTTTTCACATGCTTCCGGAGAGAACTGGGGTCTGT